TTCTCTTACTAATTAACATTCTCACAAATCCCAGTGCTCCATCTTCATTTAAGCAAATGTTTAAATTCTTATCTTCTATTCGACAATGGGCTCTGACTAGAGCTTGCGCATATGACCTTCAACCCCCCTTCCCGCGTGACTCTGGTAAACGAACATTTCTGTACAGTGCTTCCATTCTTTTTAATTGCTTAGATAGCGATTGTAAGCAACTTGCTGCTTCGCCATCTTGCTCTTCATATACTAACGCCAAACAAAAAATTCGTAAAATCTTTCTTAACAAGCTTACCCTTACTAACCATATCGAAGATCTATTTTGTATAAATTGTAAATATTTACTAAATTGTAATTGTATTCATTACTAATTATTTTTTTCTCAAATGTAAATAGTCGTAATCTTTAATACTTTTTATGCCTGTAAACTGATCAAAATAGTGCGAGGGCCGTATGTTAGATAACTTTTACGGTTAATACGTTTTCCCTCGTGAAATAAAGTTTCTATTCTATTCTAACCCGCCTTTGAACAATGGGTTAATGTTCTACAAAGTTAGATAATAGAGTCCTCGTGGGCATGGTTTAAATGGCATACAGTAGATGTATGCCAAATCTCTTGCTTTTGGTCCGAGATTCCAGCTTTGGGACTCTCCAGCCATTGGCATTGTCACAAAATATGTCTTTCGTTACTGTCAGTCGCTACCTTTCAAACTAATTCAAACAGGACCGAAAGAATTCATCAAAACCGCGCACGCAACGTGATGTGGTTTAGTTTTGTTATCAGATATGCGCAATAAAAGTGTGCAACGTAAAACTGATGAATCACCTTAAATTGTACTGTGTAAATCAAGCACACAACCCACCTTCGTTGCCCAAAGTGGCGGATTTTTGAGCATGACGTCGTGTTCTCAATTGGCTTCGATTGCCTACAAGACGTAAATATTTAAGCCGCGATTTAACTCGTATAGACCGCCCTATTCTCACAAATGTGTATATACTTTATTTCTCAGGGTGATTTAGAAGAGCGAAAGCCATGGTGGAAAGCAAATTTCTTTGTGACAGAACCGGTGTTGTTTGGAACATGGGATGGTTAGAACATTTATAATCTTGAGAAAATATCATGATGACATCCTCGACATCCTCTTTTACACAGTGTAGCTTCAAATGTTTCTCTGTATTTTGTTAATTCCAGCTTCATAATGTCTCTGATGAGCAGCTCGTTCATCTCTTTCCACAAGTCCACACAATCTGAGTCTTGTTTCCCTCGCCTTCACTGCAATGTCTACCATCCCACATCATCAGATCTCTTCATTCCATAATGTCTCAGATGACTAGCTCACCTTCATCTCTTCTTATTACGTGTCCATACCATCTCAACCTTGCTTCCCTGACCTTCTCTGCAATGTCTACCACCCCACATCTTCTGATCTCTTTATTCCATAATATCTCTGACCCGCTCTCCTTCATCTCCTCTTATTACAAATCCACACCATCACAGCCTTGCTTTCCTCACCTTCTCTGCAATGTCTACCACCCCACATCGTCTTCTGATCTCTTCATTCCATAATGTCTTTTTATAATATATTTATTACAGGTGTATTTACTTCATGTATGCTAAATATATTTGGTGTTGTGATATTTCTTCGTACTGGATGGACTGTGGTAAGATCACATTGTTGTAAAATATTTTTAAAATACCTGCAAAAATTCTTCAACGTTCAGTTGAGTAACGGCCGATCAACGGACAATGACCGGCCAAAAATGCCTCTCGAGTGGTCACTTTTTTACCTCACCGGTCATTTTGACCATTTTCATGCCTTCCATCGTGATTGCTGACGTTTTTAATTAAAACATGAAACTATGATGTATCGCAACAAGTTTCTAATAGTTTGTTTCGCTGTTAGTGGAAGCGTATCAATGACCGGTCAAACAAATTTTGACCCAGCTAAAATCAAGTTGACCGGAGACCTATATCTCCCGTTATTTTGAGCCCTGATTAGTTCTATTATTAGGCCAAATAAAAATAATATTATTTCAGGTTTCCGACCGACCTGTCAAAAATATGACCGACCATAAACATTTTATTGATATTTCCCAGTAGAGATTATCTATTCGTAAATACCAGAATATTTTTATAGTCATCAGACTCATTTGTCTACAAATTATTTTGTTTGCTTATAATTTAATCATTATCTAGTAATGTTAATCATAGTTTTACACAAAGAACAGTTGAATAAAATATTAAAAACGCACATTATTCTGACATGGCAGCTACGGCTGAAAAAAAGACGAAAGGGTCTTGATGCGTTTGTTTCTCGCGAAACACATATAGCTCGCGGGTGATCCCGCGTGGCACGTTTTATCACGCGTGACAGTTACTCATAAACAATGGCGGCGCGAGAAACGCTTGAACTTGATGAAAAAAGTCCAGCATCGCTGATTGTTTTCGTTGTTTCGAAGAGTTTAATGAGTTTTAACTTACATTTATTGCATACTTGAGATAAAATTTTTTTTTTAAATAAAATGTTTTTTCTGACTTACCTACCCATATAAAACATGGCTGTGAAACCTGAAACCAACTATTATTTTTATTTGGCCTTAGTAAAAAAAAACACCTCAAATTTGCCAGGCAAATCACAATAAGTAGTATGTAAACGCACCTATAAATTTTGTTATATGAATAGTTAAGAGACTTATGCATATATCCATGCTCTGTGCATGATTCTAAGAAACTTTGGTTACCAAATTTTTAGGGTAATGCTGGAATTGCTTTATCGCTGTTCATTGTTCTGTTGACGTTGTTAATCTCGCTGATCCCCGTGCTATCTGCTATCGGAATTATCGATCATATTGATCATATCGAAAGCGGTGGTATCTATTTTGTTCTTACGCATATTCTTGGCGCAAGAATTGGAGCTACGGTTGGAATATTGTATTGCTTTGGCCAGGTAAGAGGAGTGTGTTGGAGTTCAAAGAAAGAAAACAGATACTGTGCGGAGTTTATTCAGTTTGTGATGAATTGCTCTACTTCTATTGGTCCCAGAAATTTTTCTGGATCTACATTTTTGCCGAAATTTTCAGACATTTCTTATGTTTGATAGCTAATTCCGAAAATTACAAACATGGTCCCCCCAAAGGGGACCTTTGCCCCCCCCCCCCTGATTGTTGCAAAACTGTTGCCACGCTGTCGTTTTAGCCTGATATTTTTGTGTGTGTTTTGATGTTATGTACTCAGGTGAATATAATGTTTTTGATGTTACTCTGAGTGTATACCCACACCGGACAGGCTGAAAAGTTAGCCTGACCACGATGCGAATCGAAACCGCGAAGTTGGTATCGAAGGTTACTAGACTTAGTTCCGAAATACCACACACTCGAACAGACTTGGCCTCGTAGCTCAGTTGGCAGAGCATTGGACTATTATCCCAAAGGTCGCGGGTTCGATTCCCACGTTTTTAGCCTGTCGCAACTGTCGTCGAGATAGAACTCGAGTCTATCTCGATGACACTGTTGTAACTGTCGTGAACTGTTGCCAGGACTTTTTTATGTTTCCATTTGGTCGTGAACACTACTTTGACGACAGTTACAACACGTTACACGTTCGCGACAGTTACGACCATATTGAAACCATATGACTTTTAAAGACATATTCACACAACAACACTATAAGACCGTCACAAACGACAGAAGTTTTATCCCAATAACAGCAGTGTGTTTAGCCCGGCTAGCTGAGCTGATATTCCTGCCAGGGATCTACAGACCCATTGCACATGACGTCACAGCGCCGGTGACGATGCATCTGGAGGACAAATTATCAATCTACGCATAATATAACTTTTGTAAACAAAGCAAATTTTGTAAAAGTTTATAATAATTTTGTATTAAAATGGTCCATTTTTGCGCTGTATGTGGTTGTTGTACCCACACAGATATTGTTAGGGAGCATCTGGAGGACACTCTAGGGATTTGTGACGTCAGTGCAATGGGTCTATAGGTCACAGCTGTTCCTGGTTAGGTCTAATAAATGTATATAAATTTCCACTCGATAATTTCCATCTACAATACCCTTCAACTATTTATTGAATCGAATGAGATACCAACAAATTCTTAATATGAACAGACCCTAACAGCTTGCACAATCACAGCAAACAATGTGCAAACGTTGAAAACATTTCTTTCGTCTTTTCGTTATAGGCTGCGAGTATTTCTTTATTTTCGTCCGGGTTTGGTGAATCTTTGGCCGAGACTACAAGCTGGGACAATCATTGGGCTGCAAGGACGATAGCTCTGATTGCCGCCCTAACGATATTAGGGATAATTTTAGCCGGAGTCAAATGGGTCGTGAAATTACAACTGTTGCTTCTGGCTGTTCTCGTTATCTCTGTATTGGACTTTGTTGTTGGGACGTTCGCTCATACTGACTTAGGTGGGTGGTTAGATCGATGTGATGCGAGGCAACATTCTGGCTTGTGAAAATGATTTTTCCAAAGCCGTATTTCATACTTATAGAAGTGCGCTATTTTAAGTTTTAAGTGTGGTCATTCAATCATGTACCCAAGTATATGTGTATCTGTGCCAAGTTGCTGTTGCTGTTGTTGTTGTTGCTCCTGCTGTTGTTGCTTTTGCAGTTGTTGTTGCTGTTGTTGCTCCTGCTGTTGTTGTTGTTGCTGTTGTTGCTGTTGCTGTTGCTGTTGTTGTTGTTGCTGTTGTTGCTGTTGTTGTTGCTGTTGTTGTTGTTGCTGTTGTTGCTGTTGCTGTTGTTGCTGTTGCTGTTGTTGCTGTTGCTGCTGTTGTTGTTGCTTTTGCAGTTGTTGTTGCTGTTGTTGCTCCTGCTGTTGTTGTTGTTGCTGTTGTTGCTGTTGCTGTTGCTGTTGTTGCTGTTGCTGTTGCTGCTGTTGTTGTTGCTTTTGCAGTTGTTGTTGCTGTTGTTGCTCCTGCTGTTGCTGTTGTTGTTGTTGCTGTTGCTGCTGTTGTTGTTGTTGCTTTTGCAGTTGTTGTTGCTGTTGTTGCTCCTGCTGTTGTTGCTGCTGTTGTTGTTGTCGCCGTTGTTGTTGTTGTTGTTGTTGTTGTTGTTGTTGTTGTTGTTGTTGTTGTTGTTGTTGTTGTTGTTGTTGTTGTTGCTGTTGCTGCTGTCGTTGCCGTTGTTGCTGATGTACTTTAAATATAGTAGTTTGGCACTAATTGTTATCTACGTTATTTAGCAAATGGTTTAACTGGTTACAAAGAAGAAAATATGGTGAAGAATATCAACCCCAAGTTTTCCGAAGGCCAATCATTCTTTACAGTATTCGGCGTGTTCTTCTCTACTGCCACTGGAATTATGGCGGGAATTAACATGAGCGGTGATCTAAAAAATCCTGGTGAAAATATTCCTACAGGAACGTTGGCTGCTCTTGGTGTAAGGTAAACTAACAGAAACTAACTTTACTTAAGATTGATGCAGTTTTCAGTTGTTTTCCCTAGACGTCCAAAAAGGGTAATCTCTTATAATTGATCCAGTGTTACTATATGCAGGAGAAAACCTAAACTGAAGTAACTTTATTGAAAAGGATAGCTCTATCAGTTCCAACTGTTCTTCCTAGAGGTTCAGTTTAGAATGGATCCAGTGTTACTTCATTTTAAACCAGGGTTCGTACAAAACTTGAAAATCAAAGTTGTTGGAACAGCATTGTCACAACTTCTTATCAAGCTTGCTACAAACCTGTTGAGGAGACATCTTGTTGACAAGTTATCGGAACAGCATTGTCACAATTTGTCAACAAGCTTGCTACAAGCCTGTTGAGGAGACATCTTGTTGACAAGTTGTTGAAACAGCATGATCACAACTTGTTAACATGCTTGCTACAAGGCTGTCGAGGAGACATCTTGTTGACAAGTTGTTGGAACAGCATTGTCACAACTTGTTAATAAGCTTGCTGCAAGCCTGTTGAGAAACATCTTGTTGACAAGTTGTTGGAACAGCATTGTCACAACTTGTTAACAAGTTTGCTACAAACCTATTGCAAACCATCTTGTTGACAAGTTGTTGGAACGACATTGTCACAACTTGTTAACAAGTTTGCTACAAACCTATTGCAAACCATTGTCACAACTTGTTAACAAACCTATTGCAAACCATCTTGTTGACAAGTTGTTGGAACGACATTGTCACAACTTGTTAACAAGTTTGCTACAAACCTATTGCAAACCATTGTCACAACTTGTTAACAAACCTATTACAAACCATCTTGTTGACAAGTTGTTGGAACGGCATTGTCACAACTTGTTAACAAGTTTGCTACAAACCTATTACAAACCATCTTGTTGACAAGTTGTTGGAACGGCATTGTCACAACTTGTTAACAAGTTTGCTACAAACCTATTGCAAACCATCTTGTTGACAAGTTGTTGGAACGACATTGTCACAACTTGTTAACAAGTTTGCTACAAACCTATTGCAAACCATTGTCACAACTTGTTAACAAACCTATTACAAACCATCTTGTTGACAAGTTGTTGGAACGGCATTGTCACAACTTGTTAACAAGTTTGCTACAAACCTATTGCAAACCATCTTGTTGACAAGTTGTTGGAACGACATTGTCACAACTTGTTAACAAGTGTAACTTGCTACAAACCTATTGCAAACCATCTTGTTGACAAGTTGTTGGAACGGCATTGTCACAACTTGTTAACAAGTTTGCTACAAACCTATTGCAAACCATTGTCACAACTTGTTAACAAACCTATTACAAACCATCTTGTTGACAAGTTGTTGGAACGGCATTGTCACAACTTGTTAACAAGTTTGCTACAAACCTATTGCAAACCATCTTGTTGACAAGTTGTTGGAACGACATTGTCACAACTTGTTAACAAGTTTGCTACAAACCTATTGCAAACCATCTTGTTGACAAGCTGTTGGAACAGCATTGGCACAACTTGATAACAAGCTTGCTACAAACGTGTTGAGGTGACATCCTGTTGACAAGTTGCTGGAACAGCATTGTCACAACTTGTTAACAAGTTTGCTACAAAGGTGTTGCGAAAAATGTTGAAATTAACTCTTCATGAATCATGACCTATGCGAACCCTGTTTAACTTGTTCAAATCTAGAACTATAGAGCGACCGTGTCTTGTTTTATTTCTAGTGGTTTATTGTATATGTTGTTTGCGTTGTTGCTTGGTGCTGTCTGTACAAGAGAAGCTTTGTTGAGTGACTATATGATTGCTTCTAAGGTAAGTAATAGGTTAGGATTGCGTTTATAGTTTAATGTTAGGAGAAACATTAAGATATTAAGGTCAGGCGAAACAATAATACAATATGGTATTAAGGTCGGCGAAACAATAAGATATACATGAGACAGGGCCTCTTTGTAAAATGTAAATAATAATAATGATAATCGAAGAATAGTAGGCTCCTTGGGGGCAGGTCCCCCTTTTGCGGTAAATTGGGGGCAGGTACCCCTTTTACAACAATCCCTGTATTTAAATTGGTTTAGTAAGTGTGTAAATGTAACTATAGCCGTATTTTGTCACATTTCAGGTTGCTTTAGTTGGTGTTCTGTTTTTGTTTGGTCTGTATATATCGTCTTTGTCTTCATGTCTTGGAGCGCAGTATGCCGCACCCAGGATAATTCAATGTATTGGTCGTGACAGTGTTATTCCACTTATTAAAGCTTTGGGGAAAGGCGTAAGTATCTGCTCTATATATTAATTACTGGAGTGTCTTTAGTAATGAGCTTCTAAAGTAAACTAAGTTACTAACTTTATTTTGGATAGCTCTATCAGTTCTGAACTGGTCTTCCTTGAGGTTCAATAAGAGAATCTCTTATTGATCGAGTGTTAATACAGCAGGAAACCTAAACTAAACTACAAGTAAACTAAACTAATTTTATTGAGCCGCTCTATCAATTCTAAACTGTTATTCCTTGAGGTTCAGTAAGGATCATCTCGTATTGATCCAGTGTTATTATAGCAGGAAACCTAAACTGAACTAACTTCATTTTTACTGGATAGCTCTATCAGTTCTAAGCAGTTCTTTCTAGAGGTCTAGTAAGAATCATCTCTTATCGATCCAATGTTACTACAGGAGAAAACCTAAACTAAACTAACTTTATTTATATTGGATAGTTCTATCAGTTCTAAACAGTTCTTCCTAGAAGTTCAGTAAGAATCATGTCTTATCGATCCAGTGTTAGTACAGGAGGAAACCTAACTCAACTAACTTTATTCATACTGGGTAACTCTATCAGTTCTAAACTGTTCTTCCTAGAGTTTCAGTAAGAATCCTCTCTTGTCGATCCAGTGTTACTAACTTACTACAGGAGGAAACCTAAACTAAACTAACTTCGTCCTTTCGGCAAACTGTCCGTTCGACAAACTGTCCGTTTGGCAAAATGTCCGTTCGGCAAAACATCCGTCGGCAAAATGTCCGTACGGCAAAATGTCTTTCGGCAAAATGTCTTTCGGCAAAATGTCCGGGTACCTTATACTGGATAGCTCTGTCAGTTCTGATGTTCTTTCTAGAGGTCAAGTTAGGACCATCCCTTCTCGACCCAGTGTTACTACAGGAAGAAACCTAAACTAAACTAATTTTATTTATACTCAATAAGTAACATGTACCTTTAAATTAATCTGTGCACAGACCTAAATATGCACAGCTTTTAGGGAAGGATCATTATTTATGGTGGTAGGGGTGGCACCGAAGAGAAATGTTTTTCTTGGGAAAAATTTTGCTGACCCAACCATTAAAAATTCAAAAAATTTGATTACCCAACCTCAAATATCAATTAAAAAATAAATACCATCCCTGGCCAAAAACTTTGCAAAAGGATACCATTCAGTTGTCACACATGTCCTTCACCACTTCTGTGGTATGAGTTTGATAACGGCTTGTGAAAGTTTCTGCACTCTAAAGTTTCATATTGTCTGCACATGCAGTTTCTTTGGAAACACCATTTGCCCAACAAATCGGAAAACGGTCAAGATGGTGACTCTGATCACAGTTTATAGAAATGCTCTGATTGATTCACATATTGTATTGACATATCACTGTTGACATTGCTTTTCAGTCTCCAATATTTGAGTGAGTCATGCTTTGGAAATGACAATATTTTTTTATTACCCAACCCTTGAGTTGTTTTGTTTTTCATTTACCTAACCTTTTACTCACTCAAAATTTTGTTTACCCAACCCTTTCCTCTTCGGTGCCACCCCCCGCCATAAATAATGACCGCTCCCTTACTAAAGGATATTTTTCTTTTATCTTCTAAACAGCGTGGGGCAAACCAAGAACCATACGCCGCTTCAATATTCGTCGGCCTGATTGCTATAATTTTAATTCTAATCGGAAACGTGAACTCTCTCGCACCTGTCGTCACCATGCCCTTTTTGATGACGTACGCCGCGGTCAATTATGCCTACTTCAAACTGGTCATGTGTATGGACTTACAGAAACGACGAAAGTTAATTGAAGAAGGCGTCCTGGTCGATGATACGCCAAAAAGTCCCAAGAACGAGGAAACCAGACTTGTTTCGAAGGCCGAAATGATGGACGGTCTGTTAGCGAAGGATTATGGGACGGGTATTGAAAATGGACAAATCGTTGGGGGTAATACGGTCCCGGATGTAACTGAAAAATCCGATGTGGGTGAAAAAGAAAATCTCGATAAGGATACTAAAGAGGATAATGTAGGAGTACCTGTTGATAATGGAGGAGTGACTGTTGATAGTATTGGGGTAACTGTTGATAATGTAGGGATTTCTATGGATAATTCAGAGGATGATGCAGGGAATAATACGAGTATGATTGTGGATAATAGAGGTAATGAAGATGGTGGTAATCAAGGTGATACGAATACAGATGTGGATTATTGTGAACTCGATGTGGGAGAAGAAACGGAATTGTATAGTAAAGAAAATGAGAAGGAAGAAAGCAAGAAAAAAATTGGTAAGCAGAGTTTACTAGTATGTTTTGCGCTTACTTACATAACCTATAGATTCTAATTTTGCTTTGCGCATATCAATTGGTTGTTTGACTGTCGACTGTGAGACGAACTACTACTTTTGTCCAAATTCCTCCATAATATGTTTCCAGTATAAAAACGACATAAGCACTAACTTCTTTTCATATTTTGTCTTAGATAATTTAAAGCCAAAGCCTTGTTACCCCAAATCACATTTTACAGTAGAAATCGAACAAAAGAGATGGACAGTATATTCACAGCTTGTAAATAGATGGATCTCGCTGGCGGGAGTAAGTACCCAAAATAATCATCGTAATTTGTATTCTTCCAAAAATTCGCTTCCTGCCATAGCACAGTTTACACTATCAAAGTCTCTGTGATCACAGTAGGAATTTTGTATATGTAGGTAAATTCTACGTTTTGAAGGATTTGTAAGAAATGTTTGAAGGAACTGAGTCAGACTCAGTGTTTAACATTAAGTCAGTTTGCCGTAGAAGTATTTCTTGTTCACTTGTCAAGTTTTCCTTAGGCTTAGCGGCCATACATAGGAACAAATTTTCCTTGTCCAACTAGCTGAACTCATTTCATTGCTATTTTGGTTTTAAGATTAAATGTGGTTAAACGTAGATTTAAGCGAAGTTAACGGCATATGTATCTAGCAACGGGGAGCCCCTGACGTCACTTAGAACAGTTGAATTCTCGCGCATCCGTCACTTTGCTACAGCTTGGCTAGCCAGCTACAACTGCTCTTTCGCTCTGTTCCCCTTCGCCCTTTCCCCACCCTGGTTAATGTTTGTTGATACTTTATTTTTGTTTTAATTTTGTTTTTTGTTGTTTTGTTTTGGTTGTTTTGGTTTCTTTTTATTTGTTTTTCTTTATAGGATACAATATATAGACTACTATAGAATGCGTCCTTTTTTCCACTGATCATCAGTGTGACAGGTGCCGGAGGTCTGCCTTGGCAGAATTAGGCAAACTCCTATGCTACTATAATTAGCCTTATTATTACGTTTTTTGCTGTTTTGCCATAGCTGTTTGCCATTGCTGTTTGCCAGTTTTGCCATTTGCCTGTTTGCCATAAATGTTTGCCAGTGTTTTGCCTAATGTTTGCCATTGCGGTCATTTGCCCGACAAGACTAGATCGCCGACTAGCCTTGGCCACCAACGGCATCTACCTCCAAACTCAGATACTCTGCCGTTAAATGTGGTTTAAAAAAGTTGTCAAAGAGAAATATGTCGTAATTGTTGTCGTTTTTCTTTCAGGCATTCGCAAGTGTTTTTATGATGTTTTTAATCCATTGGGGTTATGCTTTAGCGAACATTTCAGCTGGATTACTTATTTATATTTATATTGGCCAGACAAATCCTGGTGTAATGAAAGGTTTGTATTAGCAGAAGAACTATAGGTCTAAGATAACAAGAAATTGCAACCCTAATAATTTAGAAAGACTATCAGTTTCTCGCCTGCTTCATCTATTAATCCAGTTTATTTTCGGATCAGTCATCAGTGGCCTCCATACTTATTCCGTATTGCAAAGGTAATAAACCTAGCATTTATCCGCCATTTTGTGTTAAGATGGGGCAGCCAGTGTGACCAGGTTTTTTCAGGGGCAATTACCACATCCAGCTGCATGAAATTACTACATTGGGTCAAAAATTACCACGGTACCATATTTTTCCCAAAAATGTTGACGAGGGAGGGGAGAGGGGGGTCAAAAAAATTTTCCGGACAGCCACCAGTTAAATTAAGGTTCAAGAAAATTTTTTCCAACAAATTCCTGTTGGGCAAACATGGGCAAAACCTTTTTTTCACCAAAATCTGTAAAATTTAGGTCTGGACAAGTACCAAAAATAGCTGACTTCATTGACTTTTCTAGCAATTTTCAGATTAATAACCACAATTCCAAAAATTACCGTAGTAATTACAACAAATTTCAAATTACTACAATCGTCCAAAAATGACGAAAAATTACCACGGTAGCACAGGAGCCCAAGCGTTGATCTGTGTTAGTGTTGTCTGTTTTTCAGTTTATTTATTTTAGTGTCTTTATATTGCCTTTTAATTGAATTATAACACTAAATTACACTAATATGTCATATAATAATAATACTCCTATAGTCGAACATACTAATATGTCATATAATAATAATACTCCTATATTCGAACATATAATAACAACATATAAGTTGATTTGTATTTGTATGTTTTTCAGTTTATTTATTTAAGATCTATTATTAGCTTATATAAAAGCACCGCCTTTCGAACCTGACAGCCCGTTCGCAGGATACACGCGTTATTTCGCATTGAAATAAGAAATGTGACGTATGTGCTTGTTAAAACGAATTTTAGCTTGAAATTCGGCTACATGATATGTCTAAGGCTAAAGTACATAGCCATTGAAAAATTTTGTGAAATAAAAGCCCTAGAGTCTTATAAATTGCTATAGTTTTTAATAGCGACGTTTCGTAGCATTAACCTAAATTATTTAATTTTAAATTTTAAACATTGAAATCGTTACGATCGACACAAATTGGCTTCTCACCTCGAGTTGTATTCGAGTTTGTTTTCTTGTTTATATCATTGATTCCCAAAGGTTGACGGCGTTATTCGACACGACACTCATTGCATAATTATTGGTCCACTCAAGTCGGGGCGTTCATAATACGACAAACTTTAAGAGTTTCATCCCTTGTCACGTATTTATATTGTTGCCGTCCCCTATTTCAAATCCCGCGCGTATTTCAAATCCCGCGGTGCTTTTATATAAGCTAATAATAGATCTTAAATAAATAAACTGAAAAACATACAAATACAAATCAACTTATATGTTGTTATTATATGTTCGACTATAGGAGTATTATTATTATATGACATATTAGTGTATTTAGTGTTATAATTCAATTAAAAGGCAATATAAAGACACTAAAATAAATAAACTGAAAAAACATACAACACTAACACAGATCAACGCTTGGGCTCCCTGTGACGGTAGTAATGAAATTACCACATCTGGTCACACTGGGGGCAGCCAGCCTTTGCAGGCCAGCCGCCGAAAACAGGAGAAATTTAAAAGAATATAAACGTATTCTCGATATTGTGATAACGAAAAATACCTTCCCTGCGTATTTATATAACAAATATCTCTCCCATGATTGTGGGATATGAAAATGATTACGAGAAGTCGCTAACTGCGCATGCGTGTAATCTTTTAATACTTGTTTCTACTATAAGTAAGTGATTGATGATGATCAGATCGTTGATTTCTTGGTAAACTATTAGATCTTTTTCGTAGTTTGTCAAGGAGGTTTTCCGGCTTCGTTTTTGACATTTGGGAAGTTTGATCTAGTCAATGATCTTGCCTTCAAAATTTGGGGCAGCCAGCCTTTGCAGACCAGCCACCTGAAACAGGAGAAATTTAAAAGAATAGAAACGAATCTATGTTAATTAGAAGCAGACCTTCCCTGACCCTTTATGAAAACTATTTTGTTGTTTTGCTTGTGGGACTATAGTTTATAGGTGGGAGAGGTGCGCATGCGCATTTAAATATACTTTGGTATAATACCATATACTTAGATATAACACCATAAAGCTGTAGCGTATACCTGCCATCTGTTTATTATATATGTCTTGTGTATGTCATATGTAGCATGTTCTTTGGCAAAGTTAAATAAATAAATGTATACTTAGATATCATATATCAATAATACCATATACTTAGATATAATACCATATATACTTAGATATAATACCATATGTAAGAGTTATAATACCATTTATTATTTATTGAAAATAATTCAAGAGTTTTGATTGGCTAAGAGCTGTCGGTGAAATCGTCATTCCGCTCGGAAGCTGCCCAAATTTGGAGTTATGACATAACCGTGGAATATTGAAAACAAGTAACCACGTTTGACGTAATTTCGTGGTATATTGAAAAACAAGTGTAACACGCTATGACGTCACGCTCATTTATGCGGCTTATGCTTAATCATTCCTCATATCTCACTCGACCTCAATAATTGTTTATTATATCTGAGTATATGGTGTTATACCTAAATATATTCAAATGCGCATGCGCATCTCTCCCTAAAAATTGTAGTCCCACAAGCAAAAGAACAAAATAGTTTTCATAAAGAGTACGGGAAGGTCTGCTTCTAAATAATTCGAGTATAGACTATCGAAATCGGTTAATTCTTTTAAATTTCTCCTGTTTCAGGTGGCTGGCCTGCAAAGGCTGGCTGCCCCAAATTTTGAAGGCAAGATCACAGTATAGGAAAACTACAGTAGGGCCACTTAGCGTGAAAAAGTGTCCACATTGATTACTGGCTGCCAACTGAATTTACATATTGGCAGCCAGTAAATGGCAGCAGTTCACTATAAAATTGTATTACAGAGTAATGATTTTGGCCGCGTAAAGCACCTGGGACCTAGCTTAAATAATTCCCACTTTTCTCTCCCTACTGGTTGTCTCCCTATACTGTGGCAAGATCATTGACCAGATTGAACTTCTCTAATGTCAGTGACTAGAGAAGTTAGATCTAGTCAATGATTTCATGTCAGAAACGAAGCCGAAAAACTTCCTGGGCAAACTAGGCTAGGGCTTCGTAATCATGCTTTGAATAGGGATGACGGTGCCTATTCGCCAGAGGAATACATGCATCTCATTGGCAGGTGACGTCATTTCTTGGGTATTTAAGAAGCCACGATTGCAATTTTAGATCACCCCTGATGAAGACAGTAGACTGGAGTGTCGAAACGTTGGGTCTTGATTACAATTCGACTGGGCTTTGTAATCACTTATTTAAACCAGAGTAGCGAGCGCAACATGAAGATCAAATAGTTTACCAAGAAATCCAACAATCTGATGATTACCTGTATTTATATGTCATATGTAGCATGTTCTTTGGCAAAATTAAATAAATAAATGTATACTTCGATATAATATCATATATAGTTAGATATATAGTTAGATATAAGGGGATATTACACGGCGGCGCGAAGATATGACTTTTATCTTCGAGTGGTGAAAACAATATTTTACAAACAAGCGCAGCGAGTGAGTAAAATATTGTTTTTAACACGAGAAGATAAAAGACATATCTTCAAGCCACCGTGTAATGTTCTGTTTATTTTATAGTCCCAAGCAAAAAATTGTGAAATTTCACGCTCAAAAACAAATTGGAAAAAGTCACATGATCGATATCTTCACTAGTGAAGATATGGAAAATATCTCATTGTGTATTTTTCAGTATCTCACTCTCTACTATATAATAAAATACCATATACAGGGTGTATAAAAAAAGGTAATCGAACTTCAGCGCGCTATTGTATCCGAATTACTCTGCGTATGAACGAGATTTTAACACGTTCGGAAAGATCATGCTTTTAGCTGTTGAATGATATCTTCTTTATGCCAAATGGATAAAAAATAAGCAAATACGAATCCGATAAAAAATGTTAGTTAGAGCCCGTTTACACGGTACCGGACGAATTTGTGACCGGACGAAAATTCGTCCGTTTCGGCCGTGTAAACACACGAGAACCACGGAACCGGACGAATTTGAGACCCCCTAACAGGACGAATTCGCGTGTAAACAGGAGAAAAAGGACGAATTTTCGTCCGGTCCCAAATTCGTCCGGTACCGTGTAAACGGGGTCTTAGAATCGCATATTTTCACCGTTGAGAGTTGGGTCTAAAACCATTGAAAATTAACTCCCTTTAGTACTTAAGTTGGTGAATTTCACTTCATTAAACTACGCACATATTCATAATTATTATTAAATAGGAATAAATCTTAGCTAAGCTACGACACGTTAGTGATTAATTGCTTTTTCTTTTGTTATGCATTGTTTTAATTAGGCGCAGAGGTGAAAATATGCGATTTTGACTAACATTTTTGATCGGCCTCGTGCATGCTTATTTTTTCTCCACTTGGTATGAAAAGCATGTCATTCAATAGCTAAAAGCCTGATCTTTCCAAATATGAAAACCAATTGTTCATACGCCGAGTGATTCACGTATAATAGCGCACTGAAGTTCGATTACCTTCTTTTTTTTGATACACCCTGTATATGGGTTTCTTTTTCAGACCGGTATAAAGAATGATATATAACCAATTCTTTTTTCATCCTCCAGGTATAGCGTATGATTTTAACTTCGCAAGATGGGTGCAATCTTTATGGGAAAAGTTGAGAAGGTATTTTGTGCAAACTTAAGACAATTTAGCTTTTAATAATATCTAACTTTGGTAATTTGTATATAGTTTAATTATTTTGTTGGTATAATTTGTGGGGTTTTTTAAATATTGTATTTAACATGGCCCGTTGAAAATCAGACTGTAAATATTATACTGAATAAAGAATTTTTATAGTCTAGTTAATTTGAAAGAACTCTTACAACTATATATTAAACTCTATTACAGATTGTTTATATCTTGCTTAGAGTAAGGCTTAGTTTTCAAAATATTTCGACTGAAAAAAGTGAGCTGTTCGCCATCTGGATTATTGAAGATATGCATGTTACGTCAAGAGAGGGGTCACGCTAATTTATTACCTTGGAAGTAAGCGATCAATATGGGTCCAAAACTTTGTTTCTTGTCGCTGTGTGAAATGAGATGCATAATTAAAAACATTTCAAACAATTTTGGATTGTTACTCGGTCATTTTAGAGTAGTTTTATATGGTTAACCCAACTCCTGACGTCATCAAAACCATAGTTAATTAATTAATGAGGTCAAGAATTAGTCCAAGATGGCGTACAGCTCATTAAGTACTAGTTAAAACATGGTCTTTATCCGATCTTTATGTGATTGTATATCTGAGTTATCTGATTGTACATCGAGTTTGTATATCAGATAAAGATCGGATGCCGATGCGAAGGTTTAACGTGCTTAAAAAACGACTCATCTTATGAGTTCATCAGCGAAGTAATTTTAAAAATAAACATTGTCTAAGCCGAGCAAGTCAAAGCTGAAGTTTATGTAAATCAGGACAAATCTTTATCCGATTTACAAATATTGATTAAACATTCATTTCTTTTGTATTTTCCTAATGAATTATTAATGAGTTTTTTTAATTTCGGTCTATATATTTCTAGAACGATAAGCAAGATATGATTTAAATAATTTTAGGGCTCTTTCGAATGAGACAAACTATTCATTTTTTATTGCCAATGTCCTATAAAGATTAAATGTTCAATTTTGATATAGAACTCGGGGCTTGATTTCTAACTATATACAATTTTTTTCTAGGAGATCGCCAAACCAACATCGTGTTGTCAAAATGGACACAAGCATTCCGTACGAAATAACGCTATTTCAAGTGACTGAAGAAAATCCTGACTTCTCGAACAGAGAACGCAGACACCATTCCTCCGTAGTGAAAATAATCTCTCCTTAAATCGTGAGTTTTACCTCGATTCTGTGTATATACGAATTTTAATTATTGACTTGTGTCATTAAAGATTATATTTATTTTATTTTATTGAAGAAGTTGAGGCGTATGAGAAATTCTGTTTCTTTTTTATTTGGCATTTCTGCCTGCCATTTCTCATATATGGCCTGCTTTTGGCCGTTGGCAACCCCTTAATTCGAGCCTTGTATTTATAAACGCAGTTTTAAGGTACGTTTACTGGTTTACACGCTGCGATTTGTCGTGTTGGATTCGTATACGGGGCTTCGGTTGGCTTTTCGTTTGCTGATTTGAATAGAATTCCTAACGAAACATATCGTGATTACGATTAAAGCAATTTTGGGTGTGAATTTGTTTGCTGACTTGATTTTGCATACGTATTTAAGATATTTGATGAAAACACTAGTGACTTTCATCAAATATCTTAATTACGTATGCAGCTAAACTCTTGTGGTGATGTGTCTTACGGTGTTTGACCGCGATATCCAAACAGCATCTTGTGACGGAATGCTTACATGCTATTGGTTTAATTACTCATGAATTATTAATGAATTTGAGAAGTATATCACAATTGTTGTAAAGATAAAATAGTCTAGGCTAAGTAAGTAATTAGCCATTCCGAAGGGGCTAGGGACGAGTGTTAAAAAGTGCCCAAATTAAGAAATGAACTAAATCACTAAAAAGACCACCTCAGAATTAGTAAGTATACAAAGTTTGAAGACGTTTACATGAATATCCTTTGAATAATAAGCTTTCGAAAATTTTGAAATTACTGATTAAAAGATTGTTTTTGGGACGCGCGTCCCAAAAACAAAAATTACAATACATTTCATAGTAAATATCGCGATTTTCAAAAGCTTATTATTCGAAGGATATTCATGTAAACGTCTTCAAACTTTGTATACTTACTAATTTTGAGGTGGTCTTTTTAGTGATTTGGTTCATTTCTTAATTTGGGCAATTTTAACACTCGTCCCCAGTCCACTCATCAACTTCGGAATGGCTAATGCTTACATGCTATTGGTTTAATTACTCATGAATTATTAATGAATTTCAGAAATAATATCACAATTGTTGTAGAGATAAAATAGTCTAGGCTATGTAAGTAATTAGGTAAGCGGACTTGATCATATAGCAACATGTAAATTTGCACTATAGAAATATTAATTGTAATCGTATTCTGGCGTATGTTTTGGAGTAAGCGCGCATAAAGTAGCTGCATTTCAAATTTCGCTGTAAACTAAACGAAGAGGAATTGTGGCATCATCAGTGATTTTCACACGCCAGAATACGAATCGTATACACGACAAATCGCAGCGTGTAAACGTACCTTTGAGCCTGGTTCACGCTAGCAATTCTGTCGACGAGTTTTCTCCTGGCAAATGTGATGGAATGAATGACATGCAAAAGACTTGGAATTGTTGACTTCTGAAAAGCGACTCTATACTTTTGTGTGCGAGTTCACTCATTTGCATCTGTCAGAAACACAAAATCGCCGACAAAATAGCTTGTGTGAACCAGGCTTTAAAGGCTGGTTCACACTAGGATATTGTTATACACTGATCACAGTAGGAATATTGGAAAAGGAAGTTCTAAGTTTTGTAGGATTTGTAAGAAATCTTTCAGGAAACTGACTCAGTATTTAATGGCAGGTCAGTTTCCTCAAACATTTCTTACAAATCCATCCCAAACTCATTAATAATTCATGAGTAAATTATATTGCTTTATTTTGCTCACATGATAATACCGGATTCCTGGTGAAGTATATTGATCCAGTCCTAGGACTGGATCAAAATTAATTCAGTCCTTGGACTGGCGGATCAAAATTGATTCACCTCACTTTCAGTGGTGACTTATTCATATGAGATGTCATTTCAAATCCTCCAATTCGGACTGGACTAGATTTCAAGTCTACGCATTTTGATCCAGTCCTCGGCTTCACCTTGGACGTGATCAAATTGCGCGAACTTGAAATCTAGTCCAGTCCTCATAGTCGGATTTGAAACATTACTTCAAACTTACCGATGCAAAATTCCTACTCTGATCACAGAAACTTTGATAAGGCTTAAAGAGTCACAACCACAATGCATTCGTTTACGTCTTACCTTCGGAAGTGACAAATAGCAACAAATGACGATTATAAACATTTCTTTGGTGCAATTTTAGTATAAAAAAGTTAAAATAAGCAAATATAACCATAGGATGGTAGTAATATATTATGGATTGAAAACCGAAACATCTATTATTCCGCCATTAAAATGGCCGCCAAGCAGGTTTGGGCGCACAATGCATTGTGGTTGACAATGACTCTTTAAGTGAGAGTGTTTTACTGGCATTAGATTTTAGTGTTTACAAAAATACTTTTATCTAGCAAGCTACCGGCTTGTATGAAAGTTGTCCGTCGGGATTTTTCACCAAAAGCACTTGGTCTCGATTGGATTGTGTGTTGATGTTCTGCCCCGCTGCGTTCGGGTTGTTCTGCCCTTGTATCAAGTTATTTGTTCCGCAGAGGCGTAATTCGCCGTGAGGTGGAACGTTGTTCCCTTGTATTCCCGGTGACATTCCAACTACTTGATTTCCGGTGGTGGTAATCCCCGGTGACATTCCGAGGACTTGATTTCCGTTTGTAGTAATCCCCGGTGACATTCCAAGGACTTGATTTCCGTTTGTAGTAATCCCCGGTGACATTCCAACGGCTTGATTTCCGTTGTTAGTAATCCCCGGTGACATTCCAACGGCTTGATTTCCGTTGTTAGTAATCCCCGGTGACATTCCAACGACTTGATTTCCGTTGGTGATAATCCCCGGTGACATGCCTAGAGACGAAAAGAAATCTTGTCAAAAATTGCGCACGAGAGCTCTGTATTGTTTTTTACCAGATTTACCTAGCATAAAAACATATATACCTGTACCAAAACAACAAAAAAGAATTTTTTTTTTCTTTTTGAGAAAACTCTCATGCAAACTGTCGCTTCTCAACTGTTGACCAAGGCTTAATAGCCGTAATTACTAATTTTTACCTATTGTATTCGTGTTCTGCACTCCCCCAGTGCCAAGATTATTGGATGTCTGGATTCCCGGGTGAAGACCAACTTGTGGCCCGGACGTTTGAACCACAGGAATTTGAACAGCACCATTACCGACATTCTGATTACCGGTATTTTGTCCCTGGAGCGAAACTTCCTGTATGGTTGGCTGAAGCTGCTGACCAGGAGGATTGGCTTTCTGAACTGTCACGTGAATATTTTTGTCCGACGCAGAAAGTTGAGCCATCGGTAAAAATTGTCCATTGATGCTCACTGATGTCTTTTTAGTTAAATCTGATTTTTTCTCAGCATTTTCTGAAATTATGGAGAAGATAGTCATGTTCATAATAATGGATTAATTTAGCCATCTTTCATTCGACGAAACAATGGTTGTCAACCTTATATGAAGTAGAAGAGATGAGGGGAGCTTCTCAGAGACATGGAATGAAGAGATCAGGAGATGTGGGCTGGTAGATATTACAGAGAAGGTGAAGGAAGCAAGGTTGAGAGATGGTATGGACATGTAAAAAGAAGAGATGAAGCAGGGCCAGTCATCAGAGACATTATGGAATGAAGAAATCAGAAGATGATGGGAGGTGGTAGACATTGCAGAGAATGTGAGGGAAGCAAGGTTGAGATGGTATGGACATGTAATAAGAAGAGATTAAGGAAAGCACATCAGGAACATTATGGAATGAAGAGATCAGAAGAAGATGTGGGGTGGTAGACATTGCAGAGAAAGTGAGGGAAGCAAGGCTGAGATGGTATGGAAATGTGATAAGAAGAGATGAAAGAGAGCTGGTCAGTGACTTTATGTGATGAAGAGATCAGCAATGTCTATCATCCCACATGGGATGATAGACATTGCAGAGAAGGCGAGGGAAGATAGGCTGAGTTGGTGTGGACATGCAATAAGAAGAGATAAAGGAGAGCTCGTCACTGACATTATGGAATGAAGAGATCAGAAGAAGATGTGGTGTGATAGACATTGATGATATGAACCACTACAGGTCAGTGAGATCAAGTAGAGCCGGTTAGAGACATTATGCAATGAAGACATTTTGGAACAGAGGATAGCAGAGACCAACAAGAGAAAGACAGATGGTGGAAAATAAGATTTTGTAATAAGGACTGTGGAATGAAGCTGGATAAAAAAGGATAATTTTATATGCTGAAATTTAATAAAATAAACAGAATGGAGTTGTCTTACCTAATTTACTCTCGGATTTTATTAGCCTTCGTTTATGACCACTATCTTTAACATGGCGTTTGCCCAAGATAACCGGTGCGCAGTGAACGGTCTGAAGGAACTGAATTAATAGTAATATAGAGGAGATACATCTTAATATGTTCCACATATTGTTAACTTTGAACGTCAATGTCCACTTTATCACATTTCGGTAACCCTTAGAAATGAAAGATATGAAGAAATTAAGGAAAGCAGTTGTTAAAAAAGACCGTTATGGATAACAGGGTTCATATAAAACATGAAAGTCCTTGAATGCCCTTGAATTTGAAAACAAACATCCAAGGCCTTGAATGTCCTTGAATTTGTAAAGAAGTACTTGAAAGTTTTTAAATTTTTCTTGCTGTAGTTTTGGATATTTTCTGAAATTGTTTGACATTCAAAACGGACATTTTGTATGATTGATTGATTTTGCATGTCCATATCTGACAAAACTATTTGAAACTCTTTAAAATTGCGTTTTGAACAATTCAACGTCAGATTTGACTGATTTCTAACCCCTTTTCTTCAGTATTTAGTCCTTGAATTTGCTGATATATGGGCTTGGATGTTTTTGAAAAGTCCCTGAATTTGACTCTTCTTCACCTGTACGAACCCTGGCCCTGGGGTAAGCATATTAACACGATCTCGCTTAAGAGAGCTTATCCGCGACTTTATATATACACACATCTGTTTCTTGAAATGGACTTCAGCCTGTTTTAGACATCAAATTTTCATCGAACTTAATTTGCTGAATTTAATTCTTCAAAATTTTACTCGAAATCGATTTCTGTCAATCATACTACGACACCCTTCAAATTGACTTTGGTCGGACCTCCACTCAAGGTTTTAAAATAATTGAGGAGAAAGTGCTACCTTCAAAATGACATCAGTAAATGGTTAGACTTTCGCGTCTTCTTGGATAAGGACGTTAAATCGTAGGCCCCTCGGATACCCTATCAATTGGGCGATAGCCTGTTGGGTAATCCGGTCACCGATGAGTGAGAAACTCAGTAAACTCAGTGAACAATGGACAAAAACGATTTAAAAACTACATTTTTTTCAAATAAAAATGGGCAGCATTATATTTAACTAATTAAATCCGACTGAAATTCGACATCTAAAACACGCCTTAGATATACCAATAAACAGTCTAGTTGTACTATCTTACCTTCCAGCTGTCCTTTATGCGACACCACGCATTTTAAAAATGCAAAACAGGCCAAGGCAATGATAGGAATAGAGGATTTTACATGGAGATACCTTTAAATATTTTGTACGGTACCGTTCTCGCCAAGGATGAAATTACGTTTCTCACGACTGAGTGATTTCGTCACGTTCGAAACAGGTTGCAAAAAACAAAAAGACAGGAGAACACAGGAATCGAAACAGACCAACTGTTTCTACCTGTTCAATTTGACAGCTAACGTTCGAACGTAAACTTATGTACATTCTATTGGCACAATTTGAATCCAACTTGCGCAATACATGCTCCGTCCATTTGTTTTAATACAGCATTATAACCAAGTCGGCTAACTTTTAAGAGAATATCAGGAATATCATGATATCCTCCCTATAATATTGCCAATGTAGACCGTACCGATATGGCATGTTCGTTTGGTAGTTTGCATTGCATTTACACTAAAACCAGACGACTCGTCTAGACGTCAAATGCAGAATTAGCAAAACTATAGCGAGTATTGAAAATTTTGCTGGTGCGCTCCAAGGATCAATAGTTGGTCCCTGCGGTACCGTTCGTGAAGTCGAAGTTTTATTTTTGATCGAAGACCAATTAATTTAAGAGGAGAGTCTTTTGTATGTTACGTAACACGCGCTCAAAACTTGCAAATATACTTTTTCACTTGCTTATAACTATATTCAAATTTTTAAATTTTTGACACATCTCTCAAGCGGCAAATAGACTTAGAAAGCATGTTTAGTGCTTTATCTGAAAAATAACACTAATATGAAGCGATTTCAGATGGCACGCCAATTATGTCTGAAGTTAAAGCAATTTTACAGCATCAATGATAACTGCATTTAAATAGATTTTTTTTTTAACTATTAATATTTTTTTTAACAAAATATTTAACTATTATTTTGTGTTTCTCAACCGCCAGATACATTTAAAAAGGTTGCTAACTGTGTAAACCACAAAATAAAGCTAAAACAAAGTAATTTTGAGAGGAGCGCAAAAAGATTTTAGGTTTTGAATGCTTTTCATCGCAAATATGCGACATTGAAAAAAACGCCTCTTAATTCAGTTCTTTATTTTGTAGTATACTTTTCACTTTTATCATGAAAAGTGCAACCAGAAATTTTAAACAAGGCACATTCACTGGCCCATTGATTACCTTGTTAATTATTAATCGTGCTGTATCTCCCGACTCGGGCTGAACAATTTAAAGCTAAAAATATGAAAGCTTTAAAACTTTAAAGAGATTACATTACCTTGGGTTTACTCACGATGTACGCTATGAGTTAAGAAGTGGCTAAAAGTGGATGAATTTTGTAAAAAGGATGAGGTTTTGGACAGAACCATTCAGTTTGTTGTTATTGACAGTTTCTTTACTTTGTGTCGCTGAGGGAAATTTGACTAATTGTACGAAAGCTCGGCCTTTTTTAACGAAACGGCAGCCGGGAAGAATTCATAGTTCCTTGTTAGTTGGCAAGCAAAGGAAAAGAAAATTGAATATCGACCACTCGAAAAAGCTACATGGCGGAAAATGGCGAAAAGACAACAACACATATCAGGACAAGACCGTCAAGAAACAACAGCACGTTTTTAAAGGCAAAAGTAAGTTGAATGTTAACATTCAAGATAAACCAATACATTGGAAAAAGCTACATGAAATGAACGATTCAAAAACGAGCAAGCACAACAAACCAACCAGGAAACATCAACGTATTTTCCAAGGGAAACGAAAATCACAAATCGATATTCAGGGAGAGCAAGCCAAATCTCCTGTAATGTACACCTCTCAAAATGGGCAAGACCAATACTTAACCGTTAGGACCAACCAACATCCACTTGGAACACCTCTAATCCCACAACAATCCCAAGGTACCCAAATAAACCCTAATTTACCCTCAAAGACTTTTCTGGTCACAGTCTACGGGGATCAAATCGAAGGGGCAGAAGAGAGATTACGTGATGCACTTGCAGAGCAACAGCCGACGAAGTGCCCTTCCAAATGTGAGAGTACTCCATGTAAGCAAACTGAAGAGGCTTGTCCTTGTGACGAGACCGTTGACGAAGCGCAGGCAAATCAGGCAGTCAGCCTGCAGGCAGGTGGGCCGAAGTTAATACTCTTCCCAAATGCGGGTAGACCATTTGGGCGTGAAGGTTGCATATGCCCGTGTTGTTTGTGTTCTTGCTCAGAACCTGGGCACGAGAACTATAAATGTGGCTGTCAAAACTCTCCCTCAGCACCCTGTCCTTGTAGCTCGGCCATGAACGCTAGCATTCAACCGCTGACATCATCCGTGGGCTCAAACTCATCACCAGTCTATCCAGGAACCAGTGCGGTCGCAACTGGAAATCAAGTTGCATCATGGACAGGAGGGACGTCGTCATGTCCCTGCTCTTGTTGCCCATGCGCATGCACGCAACCCCAAATGTATCCCAACTATCAGTGCGGGTGTGCAAGTCAGTCGCCAACCCCATGTCCATGCAATAATCAGGGTTGGAATTATGACCAATCAGGGGCAGAAAATAACATAGCGCGATCATCGGAGAATAGTCCCTATACGTCATCAGTCCCTACGAACAATGGACCTGTTGTTCAAACATTCCGGTCGGGGGACTATCAGTTTGAAAGTAGTTGTGATTGCTATTGTTGTCCGTGTTCGTGTCCTGGGACCAAGTACTCGGCCTACGAGAACAGTCAGTGTACTTGCGGGCAGGATAATCAGGCGACCTGCACGTGCAGGCGTTCTGAGGTGCGAAACATGAACTGAGTCAACTGACTAGTTCGAGACGTAGTTTTCATTTGTGAAATATATGTGTAATAGTATACAAATAATGAATGTTTATGAGTGCAATGGTAAGAATATTTTCATGAGGTGAAAGATGGAATGTTCCATTCAACGAGGCGACAGCCGAGTTGAATGGAACATTCCATCTTTCACCGAATGAAAATATTCTTACTATTGCACTCATAAACATTCATTATTTGTTTTATATAATACCAAAATAAGACTAATAGATTCGTATGAGAAGCATTTTGAGGGATGCGATTTATCGAAAACACAAAGAGTGCAATTGTACTATACGTTTTATTCTATTGCACTCGCGGAGAGTGCAATGGAACGTGTTCCATTGCACTCTTGAGAAATGGAATTTTCTATTCAATATCACGTGACCATAAACAGCTAATTAAACGATTAGAATTTAATAAGGTATTATATAATAAACTATAGCTAATATTTTGTGCTACGTAGAGTATAACACGGACTCAAAACTACCGAGTATAATTTTTTATACGTTTCACAGTCGACAAACAGACTTAAAAAGTATGTTTAGTGCTGTCTGTAAAGTAATGCTAAATGAAGAGTTTTTAGATGGTACGCGAAAGATACTATGCTGTCTGAAGTTCAGTAAGTTTTGCTTATATTACATGGGGTTGGTAGTTGTATTTTAATTCATTGTTTCTCAACCGGTAGATGCATTTAAAAAGGTAGATAACTTTATAGACTAGAAATTAGAGATAAAACGAAGTAATTTTGCGAGATACGCCAATAAGATTCACTCGTTGCTCCAGTGTTACTATTGAAAAAACCCGGAATACTCCGGGCTAAAGTGGAAACACTTCTCACACATACAAAAAAATACGGGACACGAAGAATATCCCCTGTTACTGTCGTTCCAATTGAAGTGTTCCTCAAATATTGATTCAATACATTACCTCGGGCTGACCCTCTGGGGCTGACCAATTCATTTCATCAAGTTCCTCGAAATATTCATATACTTCCTAGTATAATTGTAAACTTCCTGTTGCATAGTTTGAATGCACCAATCACCTTTGTTGTTTGTGCAACTAACCAATCATAAATAGAAAGGAAGTGACCAGAAATGATCAAATACTTGGAATTGGCTCTTTCACACGAAGTGTATGAATATCTCGAGGAACTTGATGAAATGAATTGGTCAGCCTGAGGTAATGTATTGAATCAATATTTGAGGAACACTTCAATTGGAACGACAGTAAAGGATCGGTATATTTGTCTCGTGTCTTTCTGACTCGTGTCCAGTCCCTGAACGAGGGTTAAAAATGGTGCATGATGGGAATGATTAAAGCCCCGTTTACACGAGCAAATTTTATTTGACAAATTTCATATGTCAAAGAGATTTTGCTCGTGTAGATGATAAATCAGTTGCGACAAATTTATTGTGGCAAATGTATTTGAACAAAAACTAGCATGCTAGCTTTTGATCAAATGCATTTAATCAAAGGAAATATGTTAAATAAAATGTGTAAACGGGGCTTTAATAAGGCTCAAATTTCATGTCAAATTTTCTTCGTCCTTCCCATCATGCATCACGCTCCTCAGTCCATTGATCCGTATAATTATGTTGTACTCATATTTATAATATATAACTATGGCCACTGGCAATTTGTAGATCTTATGAGAAAGACGGTTCAATATACAGTATTCTTTTAGCCCTTTCATTATACAGATACGTTTAAATAATTATTCTGTAATGTGTGTGTGTTAGTAAGCCTTCTTAAAGTTCAAAAATTCTGTTCAATTTCGGTGACAAAAACGAAGCCAAGAAGGCGTATTAAAATGTACATAAAAGAATGTTAAACCCGCCTGTATTGTGAAAGGGGTCTATTGAATCTTCATTTTAACTGCCTGTTCAGTATAAAACTAAAAGTATAATGTTCCCTGCCGACGATTTCGTACGGTACAACCAGGGACGTAGCGACTGGAGGGGTGTAGGGGATGTAAACCTCCCCCAACTGTGAAACTCGGGTAAAAATCAGATAAAATTCAAGTTTAAATTTTGACATTTTCGAGTAAGATTTGCATAATAAAGTCGTTATTTTTGTGAAATGATACCCATTTTTGTAAAATACAGTCAATTTAGATCCAATTCGTTTGCGAATTCACTTTAGAAAACGCCAGAAATTCAGTCCTGGAGCTTTAAAAATGTAAAAATTTTCTGGGGAGGACCCCCAGACAGACCCCCCTTTTTTCGCAAACTTAGTATGACAGTGGAAATCAATCAGAAAAAGCTCTATTATAATTATTACACTTCAGGTAAATGTCAGGTAAAGTACCACGAAACTCTTACCCTGTATTCCGGAGCCTTCAGTAAATAATAAATTGAAACGTCGTGAAGGCTCTGGTTCAACGGGAGGGTTATTTGATTAAACCGCGCCAATCACAAAACAGAATTAGTGGTTTTAGTACAGATTGTGCACTAAAACCACTAATTCTGTTTTGTGATTGGCGCGGTTTAATCAAAGAATCCTCCCGTTGAACCAGAGCCTTCACGACGTTTCAATTTATTATTTATTGAAGGCTCTCGAATCCAGGGTACGAAACTCTACGCTAGAACACAGAGCCAAAACATGCATTCTAAAGTTGTCTCGATCGAGTAAATTTGAATAATTTCAAAGGCAGAGATTTTAAAAATCGTTGTAAGCGTCCAACAGTTACGAGTTTTGTCATTACAGGTACTCTAGTCAGGAAATATCGTCAACTCAATCATTTCTTGTCAGGTTACAATTAAACTAGAAACCAACTTCTCTGCTCCAATTAAGATACAAGTGAGAAATTGTCTCGTTAAAATAAAAAGAAGATAAAAGGTACCTTTTGTAAAGAATGTTCCAACAGAGAAACCTGTTTTAGAATGGAATCGATGCTGTAAAATTGAAGATGAGATATTTTTTTCGTTTACCGAAGTACAGGTGGATAAGTTGTGTCATGTCGGTGGGAAAATAATTCCAGTATACAAAAAAGATTGAAACTGAAGTATCAAATTTGTCAATGAAACTGTGAAAGCTTATACCTTATGGGGCATCGTTGCTATGTCATATTTGTCTTGCTATTCCCTACTGTTGAATTCGTTACTTTGGGTTATACAACACATTCAAGAGTGAATAAAATTGATGGGGATGCTTCGAGACTTGTTAAACAAAGGATAATTTATAAGGATGGCAATCTTAAGATTCCTCGTTCTTATTCCAGTAAGTATTATCGGTATTAGAGGGTCCTGAAGGGGGGGTCGTATTCCCATTTCCCAGCCCAAATTTTGACTAAATCCCATTGTCCCAGAGCACAAATCCCATCATCTCAGTGGCTGTCCTGTTCAAATCTTAATCCCATTCCCATTTTCTATTGTTTTTTTTGCTGATGAATCCCAGTCCCAGTGCATGAAATCCCATTTTCCCACCCAAAAATAAGCAAATCCCAGTTCCCATTTTACCCCTTCAGGACCCTCGTATTACGGTCTTTCTCGAAATCAGATGATCTTCTTTACTCGAAATCAGATGATCTTCTTTACATCTGTAAATAGATCGTATTTTTCACCCTGCTCGGTTTCCTTTGTTCTTATCGGGGAATATATTCAATATTCCCCTCTAATCAATTTCCATTTAATAATTCCCTCTAATATTCACCTGTAATGTCTTGAGAAAAAACAACATAACGAAGGCAATATGGCATTAAGAATTATTTCTATTCTGACTCATTAACGCGACCTCGCAATGTGAAAAATAAGTACGTTATTTTGAGGCACCTCGGGGATATGTGTTTATTCACCTAGGCGCTGCGCGCCTCGGTGAATAAATCACATATCCCCTCGTTGTCTCAAAATAACCTATATACGTATTTCTCATTAAAGATAATATAGCATTTTAAAAAATGGGTAATTTGATTCCAAGACAAAGTAATATGGCAGTCCGACTGACGACTACCCCATGCAAAATCTCACAGCTTATCAAAAAGATGTGTTCGCAACAGGCTTGTAGCAAGCTTGTCAACAAGTTGTAACAATACTGTTATTTTATCAAGCTACTACAAGGTTGTCACTCACAACTTGAATTGCAGGACGATAACAGGTTGTCGGAGCATGTATGTTGAGCTCTACAACCTTGTGGCAAGTTGTCAACAAGCTGGGAACAAGCAGTGCGAACACATCCTGTTGACAAGTTGTTGGAACAGCATTGCTACAAGCTAGTCTGCTGCAGGTTTGCTACAACGTATGCCTTTTTACGTGTATAGTGTTAGGACGCCGTTGTCATACCGTAAGAAAAATACATAATATATATTCTTTCTTGTTTTTTCTAGGCGAACGAAATACAAACCGAATTGACAACTTAACCCCATCCCAACGTCAAAACCAAATTGCCACAAACACAGAGTTCATCAGCGCGCGTGAACCGGGCACAGCACGCAAGAAAAAACGAAGTTTATGTTCATGTGAATATGCACCATGTTGCGAAGAGAACTGTTGGACCGAATGCTCGGATCCATGCCCCTGTCCAACAGCGCCGCCAGCCACAACTCCAAGAGTCCATCTCTTGCAAATACCTACTGGACCACCAAAGGTTTTGGTTTTGCAACCGAACGCTCCCCCCGTATATCAACCACCGACCAACAATGTTCGTACGGTTGGTTTACACCCTGGCATCATGACAGGGGGGGTAGAAACGGTAAATACTTATAATCCGCCTCAACAGCCTACACAAAATTTTGTATTCCGCGTCCCGCAAAATCAGGGACAGACTTTAACTAATCTGGTTAATCCTAATCAGGTTGCAAATACTAATCCAGGATTAAATGCCGTCATTGTTAATCCTAATCAACCATCTTACACCGTTCCTGTAAATAATGTCCCTCTTACAAATACTAACGGCATCAGGTACACTGTTTTGAATCCACAATCTGGTTATCCCAACACAAATCAAGGTACTCCAAACCAGCCAATAAACACAAATACTCTTGCTAATCAGGGTATTAATTATGGCAATCAAGGACAAAATTATGGTAATAATCAAGGTTTGAATATTAATCAAGCATCTAATTATGGAGGTCAAGGTGTTATTTATGGAAACCAAGGCGGCAGTACCAATAATCAAGGCGTCTATACCAACAATCAAGGCGTCAATACCAATAACCAAGGCGTCAATACCAATAATCAAGGCATCAATACCAATACTCAAGGCGTCTATACCAATAATCAAGGCATCAATACCAATAATCAAGGCATCAATACCAATAATCAAGGCATCAATACCAATAATCAAGGCGTCAATACCAATAACCAAGGCGTCAATACCAATAATCAAGGCGTCAATACCAATAGTCAAGGCGTCATTACCAATAATCAAGGCGTCATTACCAATAATCAAGGCGTCAATACCAACAATCAAGGCGGTAATACTAACAATCAAGGTTCAACAACTGAAAACCAAGTGTCTAATGCGATTCGTGTTCCCAATTCGTTCGGTCAAAACTCCCAAACTTCTGGAAATTCGGGCACCTCGAACAACGTTAATCCAACCGGATCTGCTAATACAGCCGGATCAACTAATACAGCCGGATCTGTTAATCCAGCAGGATCTGCTAATCAGCAATCTGGTAATGAGGTTGATAATTCGAATCAGATACATAATCCTTTTGCGCCAAATGGTCAATTATCTAATTCAAGGGCAAATCCAACTACTAAACCAGCTGGATCTAATAATCAGCCTGCATCAACTAATCAAGGCGGATCAACTAATCCGGCTGGATCAATTAATCCGGCTGGATCAACTAATCCGGCTGGATCAACTAATCCGGCTGGATCAACTAATCCGGCTGCATCAACTAATCCGGCTGGATCAACTAATCCGGCTGGATCAACTAATCTGGCTGGATCAACTAATCCGGTTGGATCAACTATTCCGGCTGGATTAACTAATCCGGCTGGATCAACTAATTCGGCTGGATCAACTAATCCAGCTGGATCAACTAATCCGGCTGGATCAACTAATCCGGCTGGATCAACTAATCCGGCTGGATCAACTAATCCGGCTGGATCAACTAACCCGGCTGGATCAACTAATCCGGCTGCGTCAACTAATCCGGCTGCATCAACTAATCCGGCTGCATCAACTAACCCAGCTGGATCAACTAATCCGGCTGGACCAACTAATCCGGCTGGATCTAATCCACAAGCCGCCAAGCAGGATAGCAACCCATTTGCACCTAGTGGAAAATTATCAACTACAAACAATAATTCCCCAAACGTTCACTTTGTCAACGACAGGCACTCGTCTGAAAACGCTGTCATGCCAAACAAAATGCAGCATTCTCAATTCGAACAAACACACTCCAACCGAAAAGTACCCACATCAACTCGGCAACGACAAAAATCGGACTCGTTTCATGGCCAACAATTTGAACACCACTATGAAAGACCGAGACCTAAGGAAAGTGAAAAAATACCATTGGATCATCAACGAGAAATGTCGAAAGCAATATATAGCAACAGATTGGCAAGACACCCAGATAAAGGCCCGAAAAATGGAAAAAATCCATTAAATATAGTCATCCAAACTTATAGCAAACCATCAAGTCAAAACACCCAAAGAGCGCCTTTAGAGAAACTCATGCATAAACTCTTCAAAAAACTTTCGAAAATTAACGAAACAACAGCCAAACTTGAAGGCATGGGAAAAGGTGGTTTCATAGAGAAAATGGCGAACAGTAAAGTAGTTTCGCCTGTACGAAAGGTTGATAAAAAGCGCGTACGGCAACACGCATTTGCCAAACGTCGGAAGAAGAAATTTACTCGACATAAGTTATTAATGAAAGTTAAGCCGAAGACGTCCGCTCATTCTTAGAAAGCCAAGAAGACGTCTGCTCATTCTAAGAAAGCCAAGAAGACGTCCGCTCATTCCGCTAAGAAAGCCAAGCAAGAAGACGTCCGCTCACTCTAAGAAAGCCAAGTTTCATCGCGGCAAAACAGCTTGGAAAAAAGTATCGAAAAAAAATCGCGCGTCAGAAATCTTGCGATTCCAATAATGACTAGAGACAAAGTGTAGGTTGTACAAAGCCGTTCGTTTGATGAGCAAAAATAGCAACCGATCTTTTTTCATCTGTAGATAGTTTTATTTATTTATTTATACAAATTATCTCAAAACGGTAGCTCTTCAGCCAAAATGATGCTTTTCAAGAAGCCGTTTATTTACATCAAATATGTAATTCATAGTAATTCATTTCAACCATTGTAAATTGTTAATTTGTAACTAATTTAAAGTTTTTAAACTAATTTATAGTTTTTAAAAATCTTTCATGTCTTTCGCATGCAAATCTGTCTTTACACCTGTTTGGAAAATAATTACGCGACCATTCCTAAACCGAATACTAATTACCTAAAGCGCTCCTTTTCTTATAGTGGAGCATTTCTCTGGAACAACTTGCCAGAATCACTTAGATTATTGCCATCTCTCACCGCGTTTAAAAGTAGTCTGGAATCTCTATTCTTGACGAACCGACTCCCACACGGCAACCACTGAGAACAGTACTCTTTCCATCTATCTCTTTTTTTCATTGTATTTTTACACTGTCTTATAACTTGTAAATAGCAATAGTTTCTTTGTACTGATGGTTTTTCGTGAGTTTGTGGTTCATTATCGATGCGTATGCTTTGTATGCTTTATATAAAAAAATTTAGAAGGATTTTCAAGATATTTTAGTGGTAACTGTTGCAAATTTAATTATTTAAACACAACAAAATCATAATATTACCGCTATTATCTAGCGCAAGCGGGCTTGATACACAGTTAAATCTGAGGTTGAATTGTTCTTTTTCAAACTTTAAAATTCATTCACGACACAGATTTCTGATGTGACGATTTGTTGAATTATTGCTCTTTGAATGTCTAGCTCATTTTGGTTCACGCGTGATTTATGCAAATTGCCATCCAAATTGCCTTCAACAATCATGTGACCCATGACGTCAGACGTCACATGGCGCGAAAATTAAAAGGCTTCAAAATTTTGGGAAGGCAAAAACAACGTGGAACTATAAAACTCGACAGAAAAATCGTTTCAAAATCCTATTAAAACAACAACTGCCTATCTGAAAGAAGTTGTTATAGCATTAAGGTAAGATAAGCTTTATTTTGTGTTGAAAATAGTTTAAAACATCTCCTAAATTATGAGTATAAATTGTGTATTCTTTAACGGGACATTTTCAAAATGGGCCCAGATACGGCATGGATGCTCTGCGATTTTTTAATTCGTTGAACAAACCGTTCAGACCTTTTAGATTTTACTTACGTTCGCTTGTCGATAGTGAGTTAGTGACGGTGGGCCATTGTTTAATAAAATTTCTCATGATTTTCCAAATCAAAGGCTCCTACTAGACACAATTAACTTTACTTGTACCAAATGTTTATTTACAAACTTTTACTAATTGTTACTTTGTGGGCCTTTAAATTGCACTACAGTGTAATTATAGTGTATGGTCCAGAAATATTAATAGCGGCTGTTTATATGGGGCGAGCCAGCCCGGGTACCTGAGCTGGCCCAGTTTAGGCGAGATCTTGCCTTTGTTATTATTTTCTACTAAATTTATTTTGCGTTTATATGGGAACTGAGCTGGCCCGCCTATAAGCAAGATTCTGCCTTGACTGACCCAATACCTCGGGTGACTGGGCTGGGAATTTGCCATATAAACGCAATTACCCGGGCTGGCTCGCCTAAGCTGAGTGTTATTGTTCTGTTTACCTGATTATATTGTTGTAAATAAGATATTCTCAGCCGATTTCGATCTTAAAATGTCGCTTATATTATACTATTTATAGTGGTGAGACCAGTGGTTTGTTTTGGCAACTCAGCCCGCCTCATATGTAAGCACATGATGAAATCAGCTCAGAAAAATGAGCTAGCTCAGGTATCCAGGCTGGCTCACCCCTTTAGAAACATTTTACATTACCAGATAGACTTTACTGTATATTTTGGATTTATTCCCCAATGCTTTGTTTTCATGCTTACCTGTTTATAATAGCATGGCAAGTGCACATGAATGTTATATCCCCATGTTTCGGGCACAAATATGTTTCTTTGATCTTGATTCCTTGAGCCCAGTCATAAGCTTATCCTTACAACTATTGTGCACGAAACATGCGGAAATAAATCGGATAACCACATGAAAATGAGGCCATTGGCAGGGCAGGAAAAATAATTTTCTTTCTGGGATCACAACCTGGAGACAAAAATGTCCTGCAGACAATGGAGTATTTTTGTGCTAAATCTGCATGTGCATAAACAAACAGTGTTCTAGCTGACCATGGTTTTAAATTTAAGGAATAGTGTCTGTCAACCATATGTTGTTGTGCCCATAGTGGGACATGGGTGTTAAGGTTTCCTTCAAATTTTCAACAGCAAATCTTCTTTCAAACAAATTTCCTGCAGCTGTTTAACATTTCCTGCAAGCAGTGCTCGCGTGCTCATCTATCTGTTCCTCCCCTGGTCATTGGGGCAGTCTATGCAGGTTACATGTACTTCCCTACCCTCTTCAGATATCCTAATGTACACAAATTTTTCACCCCAGAAATTTCCTCTATATGAACAACCCAATATGTACCTCAAAATTGGAAAAAAAATTCATCCCATTCAGGTGGGGGAAATAGGGGAAAATTTTATTCCACCTAGAGTCTCTCATGTGAATACACATGACTCTTCCATAGTCCTTCAAATTTGCTTCAAAAAAATTAAGATCATGTAGTCTGCATGTGCTTGCGGCTTAGAACAGTAGCAAGCCTGGAATTAGACAGGAAAAATCGATTCGCAAATTTCCTTCTTGAAACTTTGAAGGAAATTTCAGTTTTGAAAAGTGGAAACAAAGCTTGCGAAAAACAAAATGGCGGTCGTTTCGTAGCGAATTTTGTAAATTTTCTGATGAAATTGTAGCCATATTCTTCATTTCACACATCCTTTTAGTACAAAATTACACTAATAGTCTGCAAAATATACTCCATATCGTACATTATAGTAAAATACATTCGAAGTGATCGTGAAAATCAAATGACAAATTGTAGGTTTTTGCAAAAAGTCATTCGCAAAATATAATGGATGATTTTGCGTTCGCAAAAAGCGAATTTGCATTCGCAAATTGCGAATAGCGAGCCGCTAATTCGAACCCTGACTGGATACACTTTAGGCCAATGAGGATGGTGACGATGATCTCATCAGCATTCCCATCTTTCAATGCGGGACGAGCAACTGGGAACAAGTTACCAAACACACTGACTTTTTTATCTGCATTATTAAGCATTAATGACATGCTAGACAGTGCATTTAATATAGCAACATATTATAACATTTTATTATATACATGTCATACATTTACATTTTTAAAAAAAATCATTACATCATACAAATTTTCTAACATAACCTTCATTTGATGAAGTGATTAATTAAGCACAGGGGCCAGTTGCTCCAAGCTGGATTAGCAATAACCCCAGGTTAAAATTTAACCTGCTGTTTTGGTTTATGTATTTCTGCACGTCTGTTTATTTCAAAGCTTCAGAGAAGAAAACTCCTATTGATCCAAACAAGATCTCTGAAGCAATATTTCCAAATTTATAAACAAGTTTCGGCTTTGAATTTTAGGTTAACCTAGGGTTAAGCTAACCCAGCGTTGAACAACCAGCCTCTGGTGATTATTTATACCATCACTGATGGAAGCCAAGGTCAAATAATAATGAGAAAGGAAGGTGTATGTACCGAGGGAGCTTGGCAGAATTATTTTTGTTTATTTTCATTAGATGTAGCTAAAGGTACAAGCAATTTCCAGTCCTTTTGAATATATATATAAGATGGAATATAATGAACTAAGTACAATATCACGTAAAACAAAAATAATTCTGCCATGCTCCATTGTGGTATCCAACTAATACTTTTTGAAAAAAAAGTTGGTACGATTACCTACTGGTCTTACTCTGACTGGTAATTCCGAAATTAAAAATGTGGTCCCTGCCTATTTAAATATTTTATTATCCTTTTCGTCTATTTTGGACATGCTAAAACTATATAGAAATCGGTTTAAATAATAACAATTAATAACCACATGATGGTTATTTTTGGTGGTGACTTTTTGAGTGTTGGATTTTGGTAGAATATCTACAGTATAGCAACTTTTTTATACAACATTTGTATGGAATCTCATTTTTATTTAACCCTGGCTTCGCAATTTGCATTGTAGTTGTTGGATTATAGACTGTGTTAATTATTCAAGTACAAATCAATGAATGGGATTGGATCAATAACTTATTGTTGGACTGCTGGATTGTTGGATTGTAAACAAAGACCAGTTCACAAACTGCATATCTGGGGTAGTATTTGTTGCGTCTCTTTACAGACTTTAGTTCATATGTTCAGAGTGAAATCGATCTTCCTTCTGTGATGTTGTCGTTTGAAATGGTTACGAAACTGAACCAGGAAACGAGCTTTGTTTATATACTGGATTGATCCATCTGTTCCGATTTACTGTCCAGCCCCTAGAATGGTAGAGGTCCAGTAAGCCTTTTTACCCCTCTCCCCTTTTGGGGATCCCCTTGTTCTACAAACTAGACATTGTTGCGATGTTGTTCCAACAAGTCCGATCCAAGTCATGATATAATAATATTGTTACAACCTTGTGCAGTCAGTCAACCTTGTAACATTCTTATTATATCATGACTGTATCAGACTTGTTAGAACAACCTTGTAACAAGTCTGATAATGCCATCAAGCTTGTTACAAGTTGTTTATATCAGCTTGTTCCAAACTTGCTACAGATTTGTAACAACTTGTTTGTATACCTGTAACAACTTGCCAGTATGCTTTTTCCTGGGACAGGTTCTGACATATTAATGTGCAATGAACGAATGTAATTGTTATCTAGTAGCCTAACATTTCAACTTTACCTTGATTTTAAAATTACCTAAACGTACCAGCATTATCAGACTTTCGTGTTTTTCGAAGCTATCCTTGTTCGCTTGTAAACACTCGGATCCACCACAGCCAGATTCCTTGCAGTTCCTTGCAACATGTTTTGACGACGAAACGGATTCTGTGTCCTGGACTGCTGTCTTCTGAGCTGAGCAAGGCTTGCTATTCGTCCACGGTTGTGTGAGGTTATATATGATGGCCAACCTAACTGGGTATACGACTAGAAAGCATATTTAGTGGTGTCACTGCTTACACCACATTGAGTATTTAGATTTAGTAAAATGTTCGTTATACCGGGTGTCCCACAAAAAACTGGACCGGCTGTTTGATTTCATGTAACGTAAAAGCTATCGCAATGAAATAAAGATCATTGTATTCAGAAAGGACTAACTTAGATTTTGATATATAACACTTGAATTTACATGCAATATTGACTGAGCTATTGATGCTTGAACGTTGAACTACTGTTTTTGAAAATATCAAACGTGAATATGTTCTAAATATTTTAGGGGAAAACGATAACCCAAAACGTTTTCTTAATGATTGCCTGAGATCACCTGTTTGTAGGAACCAAAATAACTCCGAGGGTGATACCTCTGTTAAGAGTTATGCAATAGTTCCATACATTCAAGGTGTCACAGAACCAATTGGGAGAATCTTAAGTAATTAATATTAAGGTTGCCTTAAAACCCTATTTAACTTTAGGCCATATTTTCGCAAAGCCAAAAGATCCTGTTAAAACAAATCAGAAAACTCATGCTGTATATTCTATACCATGCGGTGACTGCGAGAATGAGTATTTGGGTCAGTCTAAACGCCTGTTTGGTACACGGTTAAAAGAACATCAAAAGGCTGTTTCAACTTTAGACAAGGGAAAATCAGCTTTAGCCGAACATGTATGTTACACCAAACACGAGATTGCGTGGAAAAACTCTAAAGTAATTACCACAAACAATCGCTATGGTCAAAGACTTTGCCTAGAAGCGTGGCATATAAATATGAGTAATCATGCTTTGAATAGGGATGACGGTGCCTATTTGCCAGAGGAATATATGCATCTCATTGGCAGGTGACGTCATCCCTTGGGTATTTAAGAAGCCACGATTGCAATTTTAGATCACCCCTGATGAAGACACTAGACTGGAGTGTCGAAACGTTGGGTCTTGATTACAATTCGACTGGGCTTTGTAATAATTTATTTAAACCAGAGTAGCGAGCGAAACATAAGTAGTTATACTTGTTAAATAATAAATATTTTTATTTTGGTTGTATCTCGCTAAATATTGCATGTAAATTCAAGTGTTATATATATCAAAATTTAAGTTAGTCCTTTCTGAATGCAATGATCTTTACTTCATTGCGATAGCTTTCATGTTACATGAAATTAAACAGTGTCCAGTTTTTTGGGGGACACCCAGTAGTTTTAACTAATCATGTACTGAAACGTCTCACTAGCTATAAATTGACGTTTTTCAATAGCGACAAAATTTTTGGTATATCGTCAGCAATAGGGTTGTGATTGCGATCAAGGTTAAAGAGAAATACATTCTAGCCATAATTGTAGCGCATTAAAATATGATAACATTGCCGAATTCGAAATTTTAATGATCGTAATTCGTAGTGGTCTTGGGTTTTTGAACATTTTCAAAATACTGCAAAAAATAGAAAGTTTTATTATTGTAGGTACTGTAGGTCGGAAAACTGTTTTATTTTATGCATAATATTTCCTCGTATATAAGTAGTACAAAGACATCTAATGATGTACAAATTTGGACTAACACGTAGATTTAGGTTTAAAACTATCATATTTATTTGGGGGAACCTAGGTGTAGGGCTTAAAGATTTCTGCAAATGATTACAATATATGTATAGGGAAAACTAACAAAATTGCCGTTTTTGACTGTCTTTTTTAACCTGACATGAATTATATTCATTAAAATGTCTTGTCATGTGAAACAATAAGACTTGAAGACTGATAAGGCATACAAGACAAATTCTGAAGTACTCGTAGTAGGTACAGTCTTACAGGATTAGAACTGAACAAATTACTGCTGCAGACTATATGAATATTTTCGTTCTGAACTGTTCCGCTGTGATTTAGGTATTGAATTAGTAGAAGTATACTCAATATTTCAACACTTTTGATATTCAATTAGTGTAGTTCTCAGAATTAACTATCAAGAATCAAATGCAAAAATGTATATCCCCCCAAATCCTGGAAATTAATTAACTAGGTTCCAGTTTCCGATAGTTTCCCCGCCTCTGCCCTATATGAGTCAAACAGCTTTCTAAAATGGCTTTTTATCCTGGCTAGACCAGAATGCATCACGATCCAAGATGATGTCACTATTGAAGAAAACGTCAATTGCTTCAAAAGTGATTTAAATGTTTTTTTGTTGCTTACCAGTTAAGTCGTTGAAATTCATCAGTCCAGTAACATATTGTTGGTTTAGGTAGTCCGTAGAGTCGCGTTCACTTCCTTGGTGGCAGCGTTGTATAATTACGGTATTACTATAAATACTGGTAAATGTAAACGCCCATTTCCACTCAGGAAAATATTCCGCAGAAAGGAAATTTTGCAGAATGTGATTGGACGACACAAATTTTAGGTCGGAAAAAAAATCTTGGTGTTGAAAATTTTCAACTTTTAACAATGATATTTTCGGAAGATTTTCTGTCCGTGGACATTTTTCTTGAGTGGAAATGAGCCTTAACTTTCGGAAACACGTTCGTCAATATTGTAACCACAGATGCGTCGTCTGTTGTGAGGTTGGATTTGGTAGAGTTTTAATTCGTTTCGTAATTTAAAGAAATAGTGTCATACTGTGGAATTGCGTGTTCAAATTTCTGCTGGTATAGTGGCTATTTTTTGAGGGTGTTCATTTTTGAACCACAGTATCAGTTAACTATATGGTGGAAGAACATTTTACCCTCTTACAAGGGAGATGGGAGGGGGCGGTATTTTTGTAAACATATAGGGTAAATGTCCATATTGAAAATGATGTAACAGTAGTATTCATTGACACTTTATCGTATCTGAGTAAGAGCTGGAAATCTTAATTCTTTAAACTTTTTTTGCCTTAAATTGCACGCAATATATAGCTTAATCTATACCCACCATGCTTTCATGGTCGAAAAATAATTGTCACAGCTTTCACACTTGCTCAGTTATTCAGCTATCAATCAAAGGTTTTCGGAAATTATTATGGGGGCAAACCTGCTTCCCCTATATGATTATTGCTTGAAACTTGTCCACATTACGATTGACAAACATGCAAGCCAAGTGAGTATGTTACTAGGTTTAGTAGTACAGCTAGTATAGGTCTTGATTTTAATGCACATGCATTGACATTGTAATTATTTTTCAAATTTCTACAAGTCTACATTTGTTTCATCTATTTACAAACAGTTGTAATTAAAACTGCGTTTTAACTGTAAAAAGAAGCTCGGCTCTCTACTGCCTTTTCTTTCTACTATTCAAGCTTCGAATTTCTAATACAAAAGCTACAAAAAAATTTTTGATTGAGGTTTTTTAACCATTGACCAAATTTTTGTTTCGTTTTATAAAAAAATATTTTCTAGAAATTTTCGAAAATTTCTCCAGCCAAAAATGTTTCAATTTTCACCCTGCAAAGGTTTGGCCGTTATTGTAGCAAGGCTACAGTTGTTGTTGGTTTTGTTTTGTTGTTTACAACTAAGCAGTTCAACCTAAAATATTGTCAGTTCTGCAGGATTGTTGTGATCTTAATTTGTAATGTTACGTTCTGACGCTCGTACGTTCATTCACACGTTTGTGCGTGTTTTGTTTAGACGTGTGCGTGTTTCGTTTTGACGTGTACGTGTTTCGTTCCAACGTGTGCGTGTTTTGTTCCAACGTATGCGTGTTTTGTTCCAACGTATGCGTGTTTCGTTCCAACGTTCACCTGTTTCGTTCTCATATTCGCGCGTTCCGTCTTTGTGTTCCGTGTTGCGTTGTCACCGTTGACTTGTTTCGTTTTAACGTTTGCGTTAATTCGTTTTCACGTTTCCTTCGTTCTTTCTTACGTAAAAGACGTGTTGTTAAGAAGTCAGTGAAAGCTTTGTCTACGACATTGTCCATGTCGATATTTTTTGTCTCTGCCTTCCCGGCATTCATAGCAGTCGTTTGTGACGTCACCGTCGTTACGTCATTATTATACTTTACCGCCTCATCTACCTTTGCCCCAGAATTCCACGGGCTCCCAGGTTTCTGCGCCTGCATTCCAGCTGACCAACTGTCGTAGGATCCCATTTTGGCAACTCCCCCAGAATTCCACGCTGTCGGCGTCTGCGATCTTGTTGACCAGCGTTTGCCGTTGCGGGTGTATGCGGGTTGTTTTACAGCCATATTACCAGACGAGCTTACGCCCGCACCTTGAGGCTGCGTAGGGCTTTTTCTCGCGTTTATTTGAACGAGATTTTTGTATCTTTTCATATCTGAAGGAAACTGCCCGTTCGCATCAAGTTTATGAACTTTTGAT